TATTTTATTTATATCGAATAAACTCAATAAACATAATATTTATTGTAGTCAGAAAAGTATTATGATTACGGTTTTTCCAAGTGTTTGGAATATTTCACTGCCATTTAAAATGATAATCCTCCAATTTATGCAATGGATGGCTCAATGTTTTTATTAATCTATTGAGCCATTTGTTACTATTTGGATTCATTGTGTTTTCTTTAATAAATTTTTCCTGAATTCAGAATTATAAAAACTTTTTGCTCAAATAAATAATCAGAATTATAATTTTTTGAAAGAACATTAAAAAAATAAAATCTACAGGGTTTTATGGTGCAATTACATTTTCTTAATTAGTTTTTATAATTTTATTTCGATTTCCATTCTTTTTTCGATTTATTATTAGTGTAAATTTGATTAAGGCACTCAATGTATATTTATAGAATAGTCTGTTTATTGGATTTTATGCTTTTAACGATCGTTTTTAATTGTAAATTGAAAAAAATATCACTTATTAAATCAATTATTATAATATTTTAATAAATTAGGCCATGCAAAATTAATTAATTGATTTTCATAATCTGGTCGGGTTAAAATTCGAAAACTTGTAAAAAATTTTTTTATATGTTTTAATAACCAGGTGAAATTTAAAAATAAAAATTATAAAAATTTTATAAAATTTTTGTATATAAAATTTTATTTAAAAAAAAAGCCAGCTGGGTCTGTTTGAAAATTTCATATTATGAAAACCGAAAAATTAAATTCGTGTAACCTTATTATGATTTTTTTGAAAGTCTTTTGGTGACAATTTTACCCTAGTCACGAAATAGCTGTTAAAAAAATGCACGAACCTAGCAAGGTGATCATTCAAATTAAGATTGTTGTTGCTAATATAGTGTGCTTAGGTAAGCTATATTCTGGATTTAATATTTTGGTAAAATCTTTTTTTTACTTTTCAAAATAATATTAATTAATCTTTATTGATATTTATAAATTAGAATCATGATAAAAGGCAATCATCTAATTCTTGATCACTTGTACCAAATTTCATATCAAAAAAAACAGAAAACTTATTGGAGAAAGTAGAAGAGATTACTATATAAATAACAGTTTTTATAAAGGTCAAAGTAGTTCTTCTACACTAGACTTCTTTATATATTTAGCAAGCAAACTAAAAACATGCATATACAAGATAACTGGCAGGAGGCACCTTTGTATAACAAATTTTAATAAAAGTTTTGGTTTCTGTTAATTAAATTAAAATAGTAGACCTTATAGGAGAACAATAAATAAGTTTTTAACACATTCACTAGAAATTCAAGGATACCTGCTAACCAAACACCACTACTATATTCCTCATTTGGTTTTTGACAGAAGTTTTTACAAGAAGTGGGAATTTAGCATATCTCCTATAAAAGATCTATAGAAATCATCCATTTTGGAAATAGGAGAATCATTTTTTTTCTGGAATTAGAAATAGCTCTAATCAGAATAAAAAGATCAGTGATAGAACTGATGAAGAAGAAATTAAACACTGACATCTCTATCATTGAATAATATTTACATATAGTATAGACCTATTTTTAAAATAAAAACTAGAAGTAACAGTATTACATAATTTTTACAATTTGCTCTAGTTGAAGTTTCAACCCTCTTTTTTTTTTTTCTTTTTATTATTATTACATATTTGTTTTGTTGTTTTGTTTTGATTTGGGTTTTGTTTGTTTACTTTTGGTTTTTTTAGTCATGTTCTTATTTGTATTCAATTTTATAATATCCTCTTTTTTCAGCCCTTTGAGAAGAAAGAAGAATTTAAAAAAAGGATTGAAGACAATTAATACTTGTCTTGAAAGAAAAAAATCCTTTCTGATACAGTTTTAAGTAGTCAGATAAGCAGTGTACCTCTAATTGAAGTAATGCAACAGGTCGTACTTAGATATCAATAAGGTGGCCAGGTGATGCTAAACTTAGTTATTGGGAAAATTCTATGTAGTTATTGTATATAGTTGTAAGAATCTTAATAAAGTACTAGTATGACTGCTTAAGAGCAAAAAAAAAAAAAAATCATTTAATTCTTCTTATAAATTACTAAATCTAATTTTTTTTTAATAAACAATTCAACTTTTTTAAAATTTTATTAATAGTCTTTAATCTTCTAATTAAATTTTTTCTTTATAATTTTTTGTTTTAAAAACTATAAATTTATTTATATTTAATTTTTTAATAAAATTATTTTTATTTATATTTTTTTTAATTTTTCTCAATTTATACTTAATTATACTCTTTTATATACCAAATATTTTTTAAATTTTCTTAAAAAAAGGGTAGCATGACAGAGATTCTATTTATGCATAAGCATTATACATGATTTTGTATAAAAGAGATTATAGTATATACAAAGAGCATATAGTAACACATTTAATGAAATGTTAGTTTTTTGCCAAACTTCATCAGTTAGTCTATTAGTTGGCTTTAATTTAAATTGTAAAGGTATATCTCGAATGATCTCTATTGTTTAAGACTTTTATAAGATGCATATTTTTATAATAAACATTTAATATATGCTTATAATTATACAGTCAGACTACACTACAAATGCACACACCATATAACTTCTCTGAATGCACAGTATAACCTGGTTGTGGTTCAGTAGCTCTATATACTTGCACTCTAAATACACACTTCTTAAATGTATGCTTTTTTTTTTGTTACTGCTCCAAGAGGTATATGTTTAGTAAAATTGAATGATTTTTTTAAAAATTTTTTTTTAGCATAGATTTAAAAAAAATATTTCAAAATGAACATTTATTAGTTTATAATTTCTAATGACATATTCACTAATATTTTATTTGTTCTATTTGTATTGCCAGTGTAGACAGAACGTCAAACATTTCTCTTACTTCAAAATTCTCTTCAATATCCTCATCATTTTTGTTGCTATCAAAATCATCTAATGTAAGTGAATTCGCTCTTTTCTCAATTCGGTATAAAAATGAATTGATATTTTTGATAATTCATTTCTTATAAAATTCTTCACAAAAACTGCACCTTTCACTATAACAAACCACATGGTAACCATAACTACAAACAAATACAACACCATTATCATTAACAAATAGAAGTTTACAGAAATCACATAATTTAGAATGTGGGGGGTATAATGTACTATATACTGTCGGCAAGTGTTGCAAGTCCACTTCTTCATCTAAGATGGCTAATTTGTACATGCTAGGTGGTTTTTTTTTTTGGTAATGGCACTCTTAGTAGTGCCCTTGGTGGTGCCATTGGTGGTGCCATTGGTGGTATCCTTGGTAGTGTTCTTGATGGTGCCCTTGGTGGTGCCCTTGGTGGTGCCCTTGGTGGTACCCTTGGTGGTACCCTTGGTGGTGCCTCTAGTGATGCCTCTGGTGATGCTCTTGGTGGTGGTATTACTCTTGATAGTGGTGGTGCCTCTGGTGGTGCTCTTGGTGGTAGTGGTGCCCTTGGTGGTGGTAGTGCTCTTGATGGCATTTGTAGTAGTAGTAGTATTTCTTGCTGTACTTTTTTCATGATTATAAAAAACATTTTTAAAATATTGTAATAAAAAAAGGCTAGTCTTGTCAAATAAAAAATCAAGTGTCTTAACATTATAAGAATATTTCTGAGTTTTACAATATGTATTTTTAAAAGTAAAATTATGATTCATTATAATGTATGCCTGTTTTATTATATTTTCTGTTATTGCATTTGAAGAAGTGTTGGCTCTAATTTTGCTATATGTATTTTCTACATAATATTCATTTAAACTTGATAAATGTTTTTGCAATACATTCAAAAAAGGATGTCCCATATCCATCCAATAAAATAAATATGACAAAAACACAAGAAGGGCCTTATTGTAGTTCTTTTGTTTCCAATACAAGAAGAATGTCCAAATTCTAAAAACTGACTCTACATATTTATTAAAATGACCTGACCGAAACAAAATTGCATATACATCGAGTGTTGCCAGAACTAAGTTATCAAGCAAGTCAAGGGCAGTTTGACATTTGATATCTTTGCATGTTTGACTAAATTTTTTAATAATACTATCTCTAATTTTAACCCATCCATTTCGTGAAAGTTCTAACATAAGATTTATTTGCCAGGACCAGAATTTTTTTGCGAACTTGTTGTCTTCTTCAAAAACAAAATAAAACATCTTCTTAAAAAATGAATGGTGCACTAACATGACTTGCTCTCTACTGTTTAACAATAGATGAAAGGGGCCCAACATCGGAAGAAATAACTTGAGCTTTTGTAATAATTCATATTGTAAACCTGAGACTGTTTGCATATATAATGCCTTTCGAATGAATATCTAACCAGGCCAGTCAGCAACAACCAGTGCCACTTGCACCTCTAAATGTTGTGTTTTATTATTTAACAATAAAATGACTTTTAAAATATTGATATAGTTCTGTACTGAGTGCAACCTCTGTTCTCTGAACTCAACCAACTGAAGCCTTTTTATTGACTTCTTCTCCTTTCATTCAATTAGATTATTAGCATAATAGTATACTATTAAAGTTTCAATTGGATCAAACTCACTAATACTTAAACAACCTTGTAACATTTGATAGTCTGAATATAATAAATCAAACATTTTCTTATATTTGTGAAGCAAATACTAACAAATTCTATATGCTTCAACTTTTTTCAAATTATGGACTGATATATTATTAAAAATAAGTGGCACAGATAGATATTCTATAACAGGTTTTGCGACAAAGATCACAAAATGCTTTGCTGTTGAAGTTGAAACTGTATCTGGTCTACGATTCTCATGTATAGCATAATAATTGTCTATATTATAAATATGAAACACATTTTTCTAATTAAAAAATGAATAAAATAAAATAAAATAAAAAACATAATTAGACTTAATATTCATTTATTCAATAATATTTAATAATATATAGCATACATGTTTTGTGAAATGTTGTTTGATCTTTATTTCATGTTCTTTTTGAATTTTTTTATGGAACTCATCTACCGTTTTCATACATGCAGAATACCTAAGGCTTGTTATTGTATCTATAGCCTCCTATGTAGCACCCGACACTATTAAGTATAACCTTACTTCTAATTTATGCCTATTAACAAACTTATTGTGCAACCTTGCAATCATATAATACAAGCTAACAATAGGCTTCTTTGCTTCATTAATATTGTATGCTGAATGCTCTTTTAGAATAATTGCATTCATCATACTACCAAAAAAACCCTCAAGTTGAGGGTTGGCATTTTCTATCATGCATTCAAACTTTACTGAATCAAGTTCGAGACAAATATTTTTTCAATGTTGTTGATGATACAATACTTTAGTTAATACATCTATATTTGAAGCAAATGTAGAATCTATAATAATATTAAAATTCATAAATAAATGCTTATTATAAAATATTAAAATATAAGATACATTAGTATTAGCATTGGACATATATCCAATAAATTTGAAAAGATTGGACATATAAAATTTTATATGTCCAATCGTTTTCAAAATTATTGGACATTTGTCTAATGCCAATACTAAGATACATTACCTATACTGCAATTATTTGTTCAGAGTTCTATTAGTTCTAATGCTTTTTTTTTGAATTTTGTTTTTTTTTAGATTATGATTCTGTTGGCCCCTATCGACCTCTACAATCTTGCAATAGTGTAGGTGGCAAAGTTGCCTTCCAATATTAAGGTAAGGATATATCTCTAGTATTCATTTTTTGCAGCACTTCTTATATGCAACTTCTGTAATCACCCAATATTTAACATTAGTATATGTATAGTTAATAACTGCACAAGGCCCATGGTTTTGTTGGAGATACATTTTATTTTTTCTTGCTCCTGATTAGTTCTATTTTTATTTTACAAGAATAATTAAACATATATAATTGAAAAATTTTTTTTTTTATTATACTATAACAAAAAAAAAATTTTACTTTAACAAAATTAGCAGTAACAAAACTTGGTGATGAAACTTGGTGACATGACTTGATGGCGACGAGACTTGGCGATGAGACTTGGTGGTAACAAGACTTGGTAGTAATGAGACTTGGTAGAGACCAAAGTTGAAGCGACAAAGCTTTAATCATAGTAATATTTATTATGACAAAATTATAGACACAATGAATTTAACCATGGCTACAATGAAATTATATTTAATCTTTAATTATGCCAACTTTCTTACAAATGAACGTGAAAAGGCTTTAATTATACTGAAACTTTAATTATACCAGAACTTTGATTTTACCTTAACTATATGAATCTCTCATACTATACTTTAACTGCGTCAAAACTTTAACTCCAACGACAGAATGAAAATTAAAACAAATTTTTTTTTTTTTAAGTTATATATATTTTTTAATTGGCCAATTACAATTTAATAAATCAGGATCTGCATGGTGCATATTTGTGGCCAATAAAATAGAACCTCTGTCATGCTAAAAAGGGTGTAATGACCTAGTGAGTGGTTAGGTTATCAACTCTCCAAGTAGTAGGTTAGATATTTAAATCCTATTACTAACAAAAATTTGAATAATCATCTATATAATATTCATATTATGGCAACTGTTACTAATGATTAGGTTAGGGTACCTATAATAGTAATCACACCAGCATGACTGGCAGGTCATAAGATATCTGTGCAATATTGAAGTTACATATAAGAATGCAAACTGACAAATCAGATAGTGCAAACACTGGATAAGTCCTTATAGTTATATAAATCTATTGAAATTGAGTAACAAGAAGTTTATTTGAAAAAACCTAAATAAAAAAATAACTGAATCATTGATGGTCTTACTTTAAAGACTAGTCTGAGAAAACAAATATTAGGTTGTAATACCCAGTTGTAGTAGTCAGACAGGCAAGAACCTCTAAATTGGAAATCTTAGAGATATTACCAATCAGGCTGCCAGAATAAAATAGAAAAAAGAATATTAGGTTGATCTAATATACTGATAGACTAGTTATAGCCCTATACGGGCTATTTGGATTAGGAGTTTAATAAAAAAACAGATAAAAAAGTAGAAATATACTAAACTATAGGGATTATGCTATAAAGTAAATACTAAAATCTAAGTAAACTCTACAAGAGCATAATGGTTTAATAATTAAGTTTTGATTATAAGTATTAGTTCTACTATAGTAATACCTAGGTCAGTTATAAAAATAAGTACAAAAGACTCTAGAGAGTTTATCTTAAGAATAAAATAGTTTTAAGATTGAGATAATGATCTGGATATCAGATATAACTCAGTAAAGTTAACAGATTTGCAGGTTTAGAGAATTTAAACTGAAATATTCAAGCAATAGTATTAGATATAGTAATTGGTAGAAAACTTTCAGATGAACTTCTTAAATAGGTAATATAGAAAATTTATACATGTAGCTAATTGTATACTCTTTCTGTAATAGTTTATTGAACAATATTTACCATTGTTAAATAAAGTTAAAAGACTCAAGAGGTTATCTTAACACTAAAAAAAAACAAAAATTTCCTTAAAAGATCTGAAAAATTACTAACTCATTAGAAAATTTATTGATAATTTTAAAAAACTTAATTTTCTTACTTAATTTTTATTTTTTTTACTTTTTTTTCTTGTTATTTATATTATAATATATTTTATCTATACTATAAATAAGTACTATTATAAGACATATATATAAGTAATAAACAGTTCAGAATAAAACATTATAGACATGTTTACTAATATTTTTTGTTTTAAATAATTAAAATTATAATAAAAACAATTATATTAATTAATCAGATTTTCAATAAATCATATAATATAAAACATTATTATAGATATAGAACTTTATTTGAAATATAAAACACTGTCTAGAACTGTTCATATCTATATAATTTTGACATAACAATATTTATATATAATATTATTATAAACTATTCAAAAAGAAGTATAGCAACCTAGTGAAGTGATCAGATTGTCAATTCTTCAAATGATAAATTGGATATTCAAATCCTATTGATGATAAAAATTTGAATAATTACCTATATAATATTCATATTATAGTAACTATTACTAATGATTGGATTAGGATACCTGTAATGGTAGTCATACCAGCATAATTGGCAGGTCATGAGGCATCTGTGCAATGATGAAGTTATACAGAGGAATGTAAACTAACAAATCAGGCAATGCAAACACTAGATAAGTTCTTGTAATCATATAAATTCATTAAAATTAAGTAACAAGAAGTTCATTTTGGAAAGACAGAAATAGAGAGGTAGCTGAATCTTTGATGGCTCTATCATAAAGGCTAGCCTGGTAAAATGAATATCAAGATCTAGTACCTAGTTGTAGTAGTCAGATAAGCAAGAACCTCTAGGTTAAAAATTTCAGAAATACTACCAACTAGGCCATCAGAATGAACTAGAAGAAAAGAATATCAGGCCAATCTAATATACTGATAGACTGGTCATAGTTTTACATAGGCTACCTGAATTGCAAATTTGGTAAAAAGACAGATAAAAAGATAGAAGTATACTAAAGTACTAGGGCTATACTATAAAGTAAATTCTAGAGTCTAATTGAACTCTATAAGAGCATAGTGATTTAATGGTTAAGTTCTAACTGCAAGTGTTGGTTCTGTTGTAGTAATATTTAGGTTAGCTATAAAAATGAATACAGAAGGCTTTGGGAAGTTTACCTTGAAGATAAATTAGTTCTAAGGTTAAGATAATAATCTAGGCATTTGGGTATAACCCAGTGAATTAATACAAGTTACAGGTTCAGAGAGTTTAAAGTAGTACATTCAAGCAGAGCTGTTAGATACAGCAATTGGTAGAGAATCTTCAGGCAGACTTCTTAAATAGGTAATATAGAAAAGTTATACATATAGCCAATTGTACTCTCTTCTGTAGTGGTTTATTAAATCACATTACCAATAGGTAATTAATAAAAGTCAAAAGACTAAAGAGATTATTTTAACATCAAAAAAAATAATAAACTATTCAAAAAAGCTTTCTTATATATTTATTTAAACTATTTACAATTTTAAATATTTTATTATTATTAATATTATTTACAATTCTAAAATAAAGCTATAAATTATAATTTAACAAGATCATTTTTTAGACTAGTTCAAAAACTATTCTATTTTAAAAAACTCTTTTCTATTTATATTTATAATATCTAGAATTTAAATTTTAGATTTTTTAAAACTAATTTTTAAAGATTTTTATTTTAGTTTAATTATTAATTTTATAATAATCAATAAATTAGTTATAAAAAACAATTTCAGTTTATTAATCAAATTATAGTAATCAAAAATCCTAAATTTATTATAGATATAATTTTAAACAAAAATCTATATATTACTAAAGTAGCCAAAATACTTTTTAATATACTTCTTAGTACAACAAAAAACTGACTTATCAAATTTACTTATATTTTTTTTTGATAAAAGAAACTACAAATAACTCTTTAATTTATATTATTTTTATTTCTTTTTATTTAATTAAAAAATAATTTTAAATTACTATAAAGTTTATTAGTCTTTATCTATTTTTATATAACAAATACCAATAATGTCCAATTTAAATACTTACTATTTTTTTTTTTATTTAATTTCAAACTACTTATATTACAACTAAAATAAAAATTATAAACATCTATTTTAATGTTTATTTTATTTTTATAACTTACAAGATATGCTTATTAATAAAATTACCAATATTCTAAATTTATTAAATCTTTTTTTTTTTTTTTTTTTTTTTTTTTTAAGGTGAGGTTTTGCTCATATCTTTATTAATTTGTTAAAGAAGCCTCCA